CATAGCCCTTATTTTTTTGCACACATTTCCCCCCTGAAATTAATCAAAGTAACTGATCTGAATGAAGAGGTAGGTTGAATGATGAATGAAAAGGCTAAAGAAGATATGTCAGAAAATATGAGTAGGCGACGGCTATGTTGTTATGGGTGTTATGAAAATAGGAATCTACAGGTTGGTAATAGTATTACCTGGAAGAACAAGATATGATTTTGGGGAAACATTTGTAACATGCTGAATGAATATGATCCAGGGTTAGATGGCATGCATGGATGTACAGGTAGGAGATGAGAGACTGCAGAAAATGTCATTGGATTTTAATAAATCCAGTGATAAAGGAAAACAGTGATTGATGCACACATGCACAGAAACAATCTCTTTTAACATAATTCTAAAAGCAAGACTACTTTGATTTTTTGTGATAAAAGTCGGAGAGCATTAGGATACAAGGGTAATGAGAGATTCTGAATTGTTATTATTTGTACAGATCATTACTTGGCATTGTCTAGACTAGATGGAACTTTGAAAAAATGGACATGGAAGAAAAGGAAGAATCTGAGAGAGCCGAGAGAGGAACAAATAAATTTTAATCACTGATGTCATGATTAAAATGCAGTATTGCAGGCAAACTCTGTTCAATCCTGATGACTCAGCTTTCCATCCTTCCGACGTCGGTAAAATGAGGATCCATATTGTTAGGGCAATATGCAAAACATTGTAAACAGTTTACAAAACATAGCGCTGTAAAGTGCTATGGGGTAGTATATAAGCCTAAATGCTATTGGTATTGCTAAATGAAAAGGGGATATCAAGATGGTAATGTAGAAACTGCTTGGAGCAGAGTGAAAATAATGTTATTGCAGAATGCCCCAGAACTAAGTAGAACTCCATTAAAAGACACTTGGTAGAGTAGCAAAGAAGCTGAGGAAAAGAAAAAGAAAAATGCATATAGGAGAATGATTGCTGCCAAAAATGAAGGTTTGAGGAATGTCTGTGTGTTTGTGTGTGTGTGTGTGTGTGCATGTGTGTGTGTAAAGATACTGTAGTTCAAGAAATATGTCAAAAGAGTACAAGGAATTGCAAAGGTTAGTAAAGTGTAGTAAATGCATAGGGATTCTGATGGAAATAAAAAAAACTGTTTTCAAATGAAGGAAAGTGTATGGATAAACATGGAAGAACCCTTCACATATTCACAGTGACCTTTGCAGATAATAAATGCATAAGGTTCTCTTTTAAAGATTTCCAAGTTGTGACAGCAACAGTAGTTGGTCTTCTTCCACTTCTGAAGTGTGTGTGCAGAACTGTGTAATTCATTCCCTTTGTTTGAAAATTCTGATTCTAGGCCTGGACATAAGTTCCTTACTGAATTACTTTTCTTTTATAACAAAAGGGAGGTGGGAACCAACTGTGTAGGGGAACAGGTCAAAATTGGCCCTTCAAGCAATTCCGAACAATGGGATAGATTGTTAAGTTGTCTTGACTTCAGGCAATAGAAGGTTACCTTCAGGAGTTAGGAAACCACGTGAGATGTGAATTCCTATTAGTGGGAAATTATTGTTTTTGAAACTTTTTAGAGAGGACCTACCCACCCTCCAAGATCTCCACTAATTGCCGAGGACATATCTATTAAAATAAACAGCTTATCTATACAGCTGATAGTTATTGTTGTTTGTTGTTTGACTGCTCTGTGTTATAACCTCCATATACTATAGATGGCAAAGGTAAAAATATTTATTTGTGCTATTTTTAAGAATGGATTTTGTTGCCTTGGATACCTTTAACAGGAAAAAGTGGTACAAATATGATAAAATAAACATCCACAAGGATTTGCTTATATTTGTGTGGGAGGAATATGGAATTTTGCAAGCTCTCCTAAAGATTGAATAGTGTCCTGGCTCAAAAACAGGCTTACCATTTCAATGAGAAGTAGATTTTCATTCCGAAATCCCCCAGCTCCCTTGAAACTGTCAGTACAAGGACTTTTATTTTCTTGAAGGTGTTACTAACAAGAAATGAGCAATGCTGGGAAGATTGATAAAATGATTTTATTGTAAAATATGGAATTGGCAATGGTAAAAAGGAATACATCAACATTTCAAGTCATGCTGCCATTATCAATGCAAGTGGCTCCTAAGTGAATTAATTCTTAATAAAACTGAAGTGACTAGATAGGAAAATAATTCTATATAATTTATAATTATTTTATTTTTAGTTTTGAAATTTGAGGTATGGTAGGAGATGAAAATACTGTTCTATTGCAGTAAATAGTGGTATAATAATAGTAGTAGTAGTAGTAGTAGTAGTAGTAGTAGTAGTAGTAGTAGTAGTAGTAGTAGTGATAGAGTTGGAAGGGACCTTGGAGGTCTTCTTGTCCAACCCCCTGCTCAGGCAGGAAACCCTATACCATTTCAGACAAATGATTATCCAGTCTTTTCCCCCCCTTCTTTCCCCCCTCTTTTTATTAGTTTTATTCATTTATAACATAAAATGTGAAAATAGAAAAGCAAATAGTAGGGGACAACAGTAGAAAAAGGAAAAACAAAAAAGGTGTGAAGAAGGGAAGGGAAAGAAACAAAAGGCATTGACTTCCGACTCTCTCTGTTGCAGTAAAATCAGACATTAAAATCAAATCTCAACTTTTTACATTTTTATAATAGTATGCACTAACCATTTCTATATCGGTAAATCAGTCTAACTGGTAAAACCCAAAATCATAATATCATTTTTTTCCACAAAGTCCAGAAGCGGTTTCCAAGTAGAAACAAAAATACTTATGTTCTTTTCTTTTATCAGTACAGTCAATTTGGCCATCTCTTCTTAAAAACTTCCAGTATTGGAGAATTCACAACTTCTGGAGGCAGGCTGTTCCACTGTTTAATTGTTCTAACTGTATAACTATAACTCAATCTAGTGCTAGAACTCTGGTGAGAAGAATGGAATGTTTTAAAACGTCAGTGTATTCTTTCACTGGTTGTTTTTATTCATCTGATCTGATCCAGAAGACGGATATGCTTTGGATCACATTGGCCAAGGAACGTCAGTTGGCATGGCCCAGCCAGATGGTGTGTTTTTTCTGCTGTAGCACCCACTTTGAAGAACAATATTCCTCTGAAAATTAGGATGTCTTCAACCCTGTTGGTCTTTGATAACGCCTTGAAGAGCTTCTATGTCTGGGCCTTCACACTCTCAGGGCCCCACCTCCTGACTGTGCAAGTGACTGTCAATTTTGATATCTTCTTTGGCTGCTGTGTATTTTAATTTTTATATTTGTGGCAGGAATTGTTTTCAACTTATTTTGAGATGGTTCACCACCCAGAGTCACTTGTTGACTTAGGTGGCCATATAAATTAAATGAATAAACAAACCGCTTCGTCCATAAAAAGCTCATGAGTCTCGCTGCTTCATGTGGAGGACTGGAATTCTGGATTCATGAAAACCTTTCGGATGAAAGAATCTTGATAGTGATGAAGAAGATATCAGATGTCAATGCTGCCGAATTGAAAATATGCCTTCAAGTTCCCCACTGAGTGTAATATTTGGATATGTTGTGGACATTAGATGAGAAGAAGAGAAGTAATAAAGACATGGGACCATGACTCTTATGCATAATCTTATGAATTATGTGTGCAAGGGATATGAATTATATCTTCATTCCTGCATTCAGAATATTATCTTATGTTTCTTTTACAAAGGGAGAATTTGTATGCATCTATACATTTATTGAGACCAGTGAACTTAATTGTGGTTGGACTCATTTTATGCTGCTCCTATCCTGTTGATTTTATTTTTGTTTCTTTCCCTGTTTGTTTATCCCAATACCGTGATGCAATAACCCCTAGGTAAGGATTTAATAAATATTGACTGCATTCTGTAACAGAGAAATGCTGACACACTTCAAATGAACAATATAGTTACATATAGTTAATTAAACTTTGCAGGAACTGTAATTGATTTTTCTTCCTCCTCCTTACTCTTCTAACCAATCTGCTGGATGTAGTTATCTAAGAGAAATGCATAGCATTTCATGCTTGCAGACTTCTCTTGCTACAGAACTATTTCTCTCCTCCCATTCTGTCTCAATAACCTGAGCTCTCAAAAGCTGCTTTAGGAGATTGGGGAATCTTCCAAAGCAGATGCTTGGGGCGAAAACAATGTCACTTGGTTTTCCATGGAGCAAAAGTGCATCTATTGATAGAAGCACATCTCTGTGTTCTACTCAATGCTACAAAGTTCTCTGCAGGTTACCTTTGTTCACTGAGACCTTCATTCTCAAAGTGTCAGTTTTCATATGGTCAAAAGTACATTATTTATGAAAAATGGAATCAACAGCTATTGGGCTACAGGCCCCACTTGTGTAGAACAGATACCCACACTATCTTTAAAATGTGTGATTTTAATCACATTTATTTTTTCTTAATGTCCTAGGAAAATAATTCCCATTAATTGAAGGAATACTTTTCATTACTGTCATTGGATATGTAACAAATCAAATGCAGCGGTAAATATAGCAGCTATAGAACAATTGTGCAAATAGAAATGAGGGAAAAGAATCGTATAACATTTATGAAAAGCATCCATATCTATTTTATATTAGCTACTGCGATTCTAGAACCAAAAAAAGACCATTTCCCAGTTAGCCACCAATTCATCCTAAAGAGTTTAAGAGTGATATACTTTTATACTTAAAGCTTACAAACGGAATAACATTTATAGATTTAAAATATATTACCAATGAATTTTTCAAGCACTGCTATAAAGAATCAGGAGCTATGCAGAATTTTGCCACTCTTAAAGAATAATACAAACAGTGAGTCAATCCCTCATCTGCCAAGTTTTTTAATAATTAGAACAATAAAAACAGTCTATAATAAGCCTATTTGAATGTCTGTAGGCTCTACGTGTACTCGTTCTGAATTCTCCTGAGCCCATCTTTTAAAACCATTGATTTATAAATAATTAAGAAAACTGCTCATTTAAATTATTTTTCCTCCTATTTTTTTAAGGATGAAAAGAACCAGGTCTTGATAACAAATGCATGGCTACAGATGGTGAGTAAATTTACCTTTATTCTGGGTGAGCCATTGGCTGAATTTAATTATTTGCCAAAGAACAGATTCTCCAGATGGAGAAAAGAGTGGCTGAAGCAGAAAATAAATCCTGCATATTTAAAGTTTATGTTAGTTATAATTCTTGGGTTAGAGTAATGAATGGTTTGGCTTTATTGGATTTCAGACAAAGCAGAATAATTTCTGGAAGAAGTCTGAGCCAGATTAATGTTGAAGCTAGATTTCAATTTGTGCTGAAAGCTGAACACTGCAAATTGTCCTTCCTCCCAACCCCTAATTTAGTAGGCTCCACATTACCCTGTACTTCTCGCTATATTCCTTATTAATGCTTCTGTTGCTAATAAGGCATGCTGTCAGAGAAATGCAGAATGTGATATAATCTGGTTGATCCTACTAGGAATTACAAACAAATCAAATCCTCTGATTGCCATTTTGGGTGACTGCTATACCTCTACCCTACCTAGCCCATAATCTTCCCAATATTAACCTAACAGTTGTATTCAGTGTTATTGTATATTACTACACAGACTTAGTTTAGAAAAGTGTTTTTTCAAACTTGGCAACTTTTAAGATATGTGAACTTCAACTCCCAACATTCCCTAGCCAGCATGCTGGTTGGAGAATTCTGAGAGTTGAAGTCCACATATCTTAAAGTTGCCAGGTTTGAATAAATTCTGGTTTAGAAGAGTCCTCATGGGCTGCAGTTTACCATGCTCTCCTACTGGAAATTTCCCTGAGGCTGTTATCATGCCAATTTGCCTGTTGCTTTCCTATTTGTGAGCGGGAAACAGTTACTATCATTGTACTTTCTGTCATTTACTCCCAAATTGCTGTTTTTCTTTCCTTCACTATTTTAAGTGTTCAGAATAATGATAAAACAGAGCAGTAATGGATTATTTTTTTTAAAAAAAAAAAGCCCAGCAAAAAAGTAGGTAGTTTTACGTCAAGAAAAATAGCAATTAAAAAATACTAATTAAAAAACAGAAGAGGATTTTGAAACGGAAATGCTCTGCGTATTAGTCAATTTACTACTAAAAGTATAGCATATCTAGTCTCCCCCATGAACCCAAATATCTTCCATCATCATTTTCTGTAGGTCAATGGCAATTTCATCTATAAAAATTGATATATATCTCATCACAGAGGTGATGAGTCACAGGGGTGAAGGCACTGATCCCTCATATTATTTTATATAGTGGCAGCATTTAAGGTGCTGTAGTAAATATACGGTATATATTTCTCCATAGTACTGGATCGATGCATATTTGTCATGGGATCAGTATGAATATCCAGGAGTTCAGAATTTGAGATTTCCAGCTGATCAGATTTGGGTGCCAGATATTCTTCTGTACAACAGGTAAGGCAATCATGTATGAAGTAATTTTTTAAAACTTGCAGAATAGTACTGTGGTTACTCAAGTTCATCTAATCAAATAATTCAATGTGGTAAATTCTTTTCCTTGTAAGGCAGGGGTGTCAAACTGCTGGCCCGCGGGCTGGATGCATCATGGCGAAACTGCGCCCATCCCATTGCCAGCAATGGCAAAAAAGTCACGATACGTCGCGACACATCACGTGACGTTGTGAGTTTGACACCCCTGTTGTAAGGCAAATGTAACCTGTGGATTTAATTACTAGAAAACATGTGACAACCATTAACTTGGATGATTTTAAAAGAAGATTAGATAATTTCATGGAGGAAAGCTCAGTGAAGGATTATTAGACTTGAAGAGTCAACCTTCCCTTTCGGCAACCTGCCTCCAAATATCAAGTTAAGAGGAACAATAGGAGAGTGGGATACATCCACTTCCTAATTGTGAACATCTCAAAGACTAAGATGGGTCTTGTTGCAATTTAGGTTGGATCTCAAGCACCTCAAATTTAATTCCTTCCAAAGCTTATCAGGGTCGATCAGAACATTGCTGACCAAATATGATCATTAGCAATGGTCAACAGTTATCAAATTTATTTGCTTCTTGCTCCATTCAGAGCTGACTGTGAGTAGATGAGAGGCTGTTGTGGCTGAGCCCATCTCATTCAACAAATATTGAGAATATCTCCCTTGTTCAGAATCTTTCTGTGGGTTGGGGGGTGGGGGGGTGGAATCAGCTACTTACAGAACAAATTATTAGAATGCTTTTTATCTGGTGTCTGTTGGACAAAAGGAGAAAGTCTGTCAGCATGGCAATGGACATGTGAGATATCAAAGTAAATGAAGGATAAGCTGCAGAAAACTAAAGCAAAGGCTCAGCAAAGATCTGAAAACAGGCAGATCTATGGTGTCGATGAGAAAGGAGTGGAGAGGCAGTTGAGAGCTAGAGAGCTGGAGATGGAAAGCATTTGTAGATCAAAGAATTGCTACAGATGTCTTTGGAGTATGCTGTGCTGTGCTATGATGCGTTACGCTATTCTTTATGACAGTAAAAAAAACAAAACAAATGAAAACAATGTGATTCTTAACTAAAGATTATATCCTAAAAGAAGGCATTAAAATACACATTAATAAAATTAACTTAAACTTGACAGCAGTGGTAAATGAATAGAATTTGCTTATCCTTTTGCAGGTTTGCTATTTGCACATCTGAGATGATCCATCAGTTAAAAGATGACAGAATTCTCTTTTTAGAACTCCTATGAGTTAGAAGAGTGAATATTGCTATCATTATTATGGCTGGTTGCACAGTCAGCCAGATGTTTAGACTATATTTGACTTTTATATCCTCCTATTGAGTCCTCCCCAAGGATTTGGAAAAGGCAGATGTTGCTTGATAGGCTTAAAGATAGGATGTAAGCTAATACTATTATTATGAAACATTTTATAATTATCATTTTAAATTTTAGATTAATGTTTCTGTGTACCAAAGGGAAAAGTATTTTAAGAAAGCAACACAAAAGTGCCATCAAGTCCCAGCCACACAGAAAAAAAAATGACTTTCATTAATTAATCTTCTGAAGTTCTAATTGAGTAATATAGTGGTTTAAGCTTATTCATCTAATTGCTATATATTGCAGAACTAAAGTCTGATAATGAATTGGAAATTATATGTGTATAGCTGAAGCATGTGATTTGTAATTTATATTCCCCACTCTACTCACTACATGTGTATTCTGATAATTCTGCTAAAATTAATACCTTTAGTAAAAAGACTCAAATGATAATAGCTATTATTATTATTTTTCTGTATTTTTCTAACTAATATTTAATTGTTTCTGATGCATTTTATAGTGCAGATGAAAGATTTGATGCAACATTTCATACAAATGTTTTGGTAAACTATTCGGGATCATGTCAGTATATACCTCCAGGTAAGAGAGTTTTTAATCAATTCTTCAGGAAGGAAGGAATATCTGTGAATGTACTATAGATTAAAATGTTTAGGGTACGTCTTCATTATTAGACTATTCTGTAATTGCTGATGCACAAAAACATTCTTATTTGTGAATAGGGGTGAATTTGGTTAAGTACCCAACTATCGGGCATAACCTTTGTAAACACGACAGTTATTCCACCACCACAATTTATATTATCAGTATGCTATGCATATATCCTCAAGTTGCTTTTGTGGAGAAAAATGTGAATTGAAAGTGCCAAGTAGTCTTATCCATATCTACTTGTCTTTGTTCAGTGGGATTTATTCTCAGGTAAAAGAGCAAAGGGTTGCTTTTAATGATTGAAACACAATTTATACAGAATAAACACATTAAGGACTCCCTAAAAGTTAACATAGTACCTTTGACCATCTATTCAGAAGCAAGTCATGTGGACTTCTAAAGGGTATTTTTTTAAAGATTGAAATATTTTTGAAATAAAAGTATTTTCTCTCTTTCTCTCTCTCTCGCCCCCTCTCTCTTTTTGTCTCTCCCTCTCTGTCTGTTTATCCCTCTCTCTGTCCCTCTTTCTCTTCCTCTCCTTTGTTTCACTGGGTTACATGTTATGAAATCCTACAATGAGCTATCAAACCTTTACATCAAAGCAGGAGAACAAATACCTCATGAACAGTGATTTTGTGTACCAGCTTTCCTCAACAATCTATGGTTTCATATGAGTTGGATTAGAACTGTTGCACGGGTGCTGGCAAGAGTTAAGCTTTTATTCCCACTTCTCAATTACTTCTATCCATTTCTCACATTGAGCGTTCCAACACCCCACCACTACTGTTGGCTGACAGCCCTGGAATTCACAGATCCAAATATTACTCAGGGATGATTTTGCTTAGCTTCAAATTCCAGCTGATGTCAGCTAGCCCTGCCACCACCTACGTGATTTGATAAAAATTCAGGCTAATGGTGACGGGAGAGGTAATAAAAAAAGATCCCATCTGCCCACTGAACATGAATGATATTACGGAGGGGAAAACTGATCTGAACTAGAAGGCTAGTTCAATGGCCTTGTGCCCATGCTGGAAATATTGTGCTGGCTTTTTGTAAACAGCCTAAAATTTAATTTCCTTCCCATCAGGAAGAAGGGTTTTCTGTCCTCTTGTTGAAGGAGGAATGCACATTCCTGACTTCATTTTTGTACGGAAAGCAAAACTGTAACCATATCTCCTGTTTGCTGAGCCCCAGCATTTCACGTCAAAGTCAATTTAAGTCTCAAATGGACCGCCATAGAGTATAGAGCTCTATGTTTTATGTCAGGAATTTTGGCGATACCTCATTTTTTTTCTTCTTTTATTTTTAGTCAGCGAAAGATGAAATAATTAAGTGACAAACAATGTGTGATAAATATTAATTGCTGGTTAGACATGAAGTATTTATGTCAGAGCAGACAGTCCTTTGGGAAAAACAAAATTAGAGAGAACATTTTATTGCAGAAAAAGATGTTAAGGAGCTGATATAAACCCAAAGAGAAAATTTAGCTATGGTGTTATTTATTTTTAATGATAAATCAATATTCATATCAGTCTAAAATGTGCTTCCTTGTTATTTTGTTTCACGCATTATAAATGCAGCTTCAAATAGTTAAGATATTCCGCTCATGGTTTATCACCGAAGTTTGAAGTCTTCCACTGAAGTTTATCGAACAAGCATCTTGCTACATTTTTCACAGAGGACGAAACTATTCAGGGTGTTGACAGATTTATGTACTTTGAACCAAGACATGCTTCAATTATATAAAGTGTTATGTAATGCAATTTAAATGCAAATGGAGTAAAGGATATTTAATCCCGCTGCCACAATATATTGCTTACCTTTCTGCAGCCAAACTCTCTTAAGCAATTTTCTTTCAGTAGATCCACCTCAGTAAGGAAGGACCAGTGCCATTATTGGGCACATTGCTAGAAAGTAATTAATGCTGCATTGCTAGGATGCAATGACCCCACATTACTTGGAAACAAGCAGTACTCTGTAACTTGGTAGCAATGATTCATGCATGTTAGTTATCTTTAAATGTGATATTCCTCAGTACTGTAGATCTCGATTTAAAGATATAGATCAGGGGTAGGCAACCTTGGCTCTTTTATGACTCGTGGACTTCAACTCCCAGAATTCATGAGCCAGCCATGCTGGCTCAGGAATTCTGGGAGTTGAAGTCCACGAGTCATAAAAGAGCCAAGGTTGCCTACCCCTGATATAGATCAACTTTGACCATTATACAGTCATGGACACCATAAGAACTCTGTGTCAAATTTTACTTCACCTGTAAAAAATAATTATTATTTTTTTAAAAAGTATTCAAACAGAACTCCTAACAATGGGGACAATGAGTTAATTGATACAAAACATCCTTGCCCTGGCAATCTAAAAATTATAGGGTTATCAGTGCATGTAACATAGATGTGTGTGTGGACAAGAATATCAACCTTGCTGTCAAGCAAAATCAAGCTCTTAATAGCGAGTACCACACAAGGTGCACTAACCAAACAGGTGGTAAGAAAATAGGGGTACTCAGGCACCACACAGGTTATGTAGAAAGTAAACACAGAGTCAGTCATAAAGGACTCAAATGTCTATACAGCAATGCACAGAGTATGAACAGTAAACAGGGTGAACTAGAAATTCAGGTAAATGAGGGCAGATATGATATTGTTGCCATTACGGAAACATGGTGGGATGAAACTCACAAATGGAACACCCAGCTAGAGGGATTTAAATTATTTAAAAGAAACAGACCAAACAAAAGAGGAGATGGAGTTGCTCTCTATATAAGAAATAACTACATCTCTACAGAAATAGAACACAACAATGATGAAAACTGTCTTGAATGCATTTGGGTCAATATAAAAGGGGGGGGAATGATATTGCCATAGGAGTATACTATAGGCCGCCCAACTAAACAGAGGAAACAGATAAACTTTTTGCTAGTCAGCTAACTAAGATATGTAGGAAGCACATCACAATAGTAATGGGGGACTTTAATTACCCTGACATCAACTGGGAGACAAACTCTGCATCAAGTGGAAGATCAAACAAATTACTGACAAACCTAGTAGACAACTTTGTCTCCAAAAAAGTAGAGAAGGGAACTAGGGGATTAGCCATATTGGATCTAATCCTCACTAACAGTGTGAAATGATAGAAGGTGTTGAAGCCACAGGAACCTTGGGGGAAAGTGATTATGCAATATTGGAATTCAACATTAGAGAAGCACAAGCAATAGAACACAGTCAAACTAGAGTCTTGGACTTTAAGAGAGCTAATTTCAATAAACTTAGAGAGAGCTTGGGAAGGATTCAATGGATGAGAATCCTCAAAGGGAAAACAACTCAAGAAGCTTGGGAAATTTTGAAAAGTGAGATAATAAAAGTCTAGCACAATACCAACAAAGAAGAAAAATAACATCTCTCTAAAGAAACCAGCATGGCTGCATAAAGAACTCTCTGACAAATTGAAAGATAAAAAGGACAAGTACAAAAAGTGGAAAGAGGGGCACATAACTAAGGCAGAATATCAGCAAATAGCCCAAGCCTGCAAAGATGAAGTGAGGAAAGCTAAGGCTCAAAATGAACTAAGGCTTGTGACCAAAGTCAAAAATAACAAAAAAAGCTTCTCTCAACATGTAAAAAACAAGAAACAGTTAAGGAAATGATTGGTCCATTAGTGGGGGAAAGTGGCAAGAATGTGACAAGCAACATGAAGAAAGCAGAACTATTTAACTCGTTTTTTGCATCTGTCTTTACACAAAGGGAAAAAACAGTCCAATCTATCAAAAACAGTACCATAAAAAACAGATTAGAAACACAAGTTAAGATAGGCAAGAAAATGGTAAGTGAGCACCTGTCCAGCCTAGATGAGTTCAAATCACCAGGACCAGATGGATTACCACCCCATGGTTCTCAAGGAACTGGCAGATGTGATCTCAGAACCACTGAACTATATTTTTCAAAGATCCTGGAGTATTGGGGAACTACCAGAGGACTGGAAGAGAGCTGATGTAGTTCCCATCTTCAAAAAAGGGAAAAAAATAGATCCAGGAAACTACAGACCTATCAGCCTGACCTCAATACCTGGGAAGATTCTGGAAAAGATAATCAAACAATGCATTAATCCTAGTAAACAGTTTCTTTTTTTATGATGTTCGTGGCCAGTTTGCATTTTGATAATAGTCACCAAGATGGATATCATTAGGTTTTAAGGTCAATAAGTATGAACGTAGCTTAGAAACACTGATGATACTTTCTGTCTTCCTGAGTGACAAATTATTCAGAGTCAGGAAAAACAACATCTCTGAGAGCCCAACATTTATCTCGTGTGGGAAGTAAGGTGATATCAGAAGACCAATCTGATACCACCAGACTTTCCAGACATGGAATTTAACAGGTTACTGTAGGAACTTTTCATTCTCACCTGCAGCACTTGAAAAACATTAGGTTATAAGCTAATATAATAAACTAACAAACTCAAAATACCAAAGAGCTAAGTGCTTTTCTGAAACATCCCAGTGGCCAAAGAATGTGAGGCACTGCAGTGAGAACATTAGTTTCACAGTACGAATAACTTCCACAGCTAGCAATTCAGCTGTTTTTGCTGAGGCTGATATGGATAATATACAGTCTTCGTATCAGTACATACTACTATGGAGAAGAATTTGAGATCCGCACACTGGAGGCAAAGCTGCTTTGAGCTTTACTGATACTCTGGAGCAAGATTTCCCAACCTTGACAATTTTAAGACAAGTTTAAGACATGCTGGCTGGGGAATTCTGGGAGTTGAAGTTCACACGTCTTAAAGTTGCCTAGATTGGGAAACTCTGCTCTAGATATTTCTTCTGTTAACTTTTATATTTGCTGCACTCTCCTCCAAATAGTGCAGCTAAAATTTAAAATTACAGATTTACTTTATTAGCAAGATGAGTTTGGAACACACTTTAAAACCATCAGCCCCTTTAATGTTTGATGTAAATGTACATAAATGTATATACATGCATTTTCATCCCATTTTACTCTTGTCTTAATCAATTTAACGTTGTCTTTCCTTGCAGGCATCTTGAAAAGCACATGTTACATCGATGTCCGCTGGTTTCCCTTTGATGTGCAGAAATGCAATTTGAAATTTGGTTCATGGACACACAATGGTTGGTTGCTTGATCTGCAAATGCTAGAAGCTGATATTTCTAACTACATATCAAATGGCGAATGGGATTTAGTAGGTATGTTGAATTTCTTAAGGAAGCTTAATGAATCCAAATCAAGATTTCTCTAAAATCCTGTTAGCGAGGGATAATTATATATCTCTTTCTGTGGTGCTACTCCAGCCATGCTTCAGGGTGTTCCTCTATCAGGTGTGTGATAAATATTGCATCACTCATACATCTGCCACTAAGAAATATCTTTCCTAGGACCCTGAACCTTGTGATTTGAGAGAATGGAATAAAGTAGGTCAAGTTTAGGATAAAGACTCTTTCAAATCAAGTTGAGCTCTTGAAAATTTCTTGATTGTGCCCTTGTGGTTTTCATGGAATCAGTTTGGAGCTAGTTTTTTCATTGCTTTTTTAAAAAAAGCTTTCCAGTCTCAGGTCACATGCTTCCTCTCCGCAAAAGGACCGACCATCCAGTTGGATGCTTTATCTCCTATCCATCTGCCTATCCAGCACTTGGACTTTTCCTCCTTGGCAGTAACCTCCAGCCCGAGTAACCTGTAACACGCAGAATCAAATATAATATATTAACTCTGCTTTCCAACTACATACAGGTAGTCCCCGACTTACGGTCACAATTGAGTCCAGAATCTATGTTGCTAAGTGAGAAATTTGTTAAGTGAGCTTTGCTCCGTTGTACGACTTTTTCTTGCCACATTTGTTAAGTGAATCATTATAGTTGTTAAAATAGTAACACGGTTGTTAAGTGAATCTGGCTTCCCCCATTAGCACAGACGGTCGCAAAAGATGATCACATTACCCCGGGACACTGCAACCGTCATAAATATGAACGAGTTGTCAAGCATCCGAATGTAAATCACATGACCATGGGGATGGGGCAATGGTCATAAATGTGAAAAATGGTCATAAGTTCCTTTTTTCAGTGCCATTGTAACTTTGAATGGTCACTAAATGAACTGTTGTAACGGTAAGTAAACTATCTGTATGCTGTAAATCATTTCAGGAAACAAAAATGCTTCAGATGTTGCTGAACTACAATTCCCAGCATGCTTTGCTATTGGCTTGTATGCTAGCAATTGTAGATCAGCCACTCTTTTAAGAGAAAGAGGTTCTCCATCCTTGCAAACTCAGCGTACTTTTTTTTTCTTTTTCACAGTTTTTATTTTTAAGAAAGGAGAGAGTTGCAAAAGGGTCTCTTGCGCTGATATTTCTGAGATGTCTTGGTCGACAGTGATAGTGTATTGGCCCCATTTGATTCATCTACTATGGCTTCAGCTCAGATTACAATTTGCACTTTCCCGACACCCTAAGAACTGAACCCCCTAAGAACTTGCATATTTTATTTCAAAACATTTCTTCTGTCAGATTATATAAAATATTCATAGGCTTGGAGGTGGGCCTGAGAAATCTATGCTGTTCCTTCAGCTGATCGACTGTGACAGCAGTGGATGTGTGCCGCAAAAGTTATTTCCAATGATAACAAAATCCCAGAATTTAATCCTTAACTTATTATAGCTGTTGCCCAGAGCCAGAATTGGATTTAGACATAGGGAGGCCCTAAGCTATGGACTGTATTTGGCAGAGTATATAACAAGTAAACAAGGCAAGAATGCTGCCAAGATGCATAACAATCCCAGGATGGGATAGAGAAAGACCCCCTGTGAACAGAAAGTGTGAATGCCTGCTGAAAGAATGCATAATTTAATCAAATTAGCAAGTGCCATATGAGCCATACAGGAGAGCTTAATTTATGGAGGCTTTCATGTGTGAAATTATAATAAAATCATGACAAACGAACATTGGAAATATTGGAGGCCCCCTTTAGACATTGACATCTTAAGCTGTAGCTTGATTAGTTTATGGCTAAATTCAGCTTTGCCTAGGGGAAGGGAGAAAAATCTTTATTTTTTCTTGTTATGAGTGCCTGCATATTTATATATTTCTTGCTCACACTGAAATCTGTGTTTAGGTGATTTTTTTCCCCTCAAAAGCTGCAAAGCTTTTTGTAGTTTGCATTTTTAGAAAAGTCTTGACTTTAAAAAAAAAAAAAAAAAAAAGGCTACTGAACTTTTCCAGCCAAGCCTTTTAGGCTTGCTTAATCCATAGTCTGAATAAAAATGATCCAAAATATGCAAAGAGGGATGGTGAAAGAACCACTAAAATTGGAAATATCATTGACTCTGTACAAAGCAACAACAAAACTCATTTCCATCTGCTGTCCTATAAATAGCTTGAGACCTACAACTCATTATGCTCTATCACTAAACATTGTAATAATGGTTGATTGCTACTTGCAATTTGATAGACAGATTGAAGAAGAATTATGCCTTACAAATGAAACTGATCAGAGGAGTAATGGCTACTGTATATTCTTAGATAATTTTTTTTAAGGAAAATTGACTATTGCCATAATTCTTCACCTGATATGTTTGGGCTGCTTAATAGATTTATATGGATTTTTTCATATGTCTTCAGAGTAAGATTAATGCCATGAGAAAGCTAAGTATTTATCCAGAGATGGTATTTTCACATTATTTCCTATTACGGTGTTTATTACGGTGTTCACAGGAATTACTAAATATTACGGTGTTCACAAGAATTATTGAAAATGAATGGGATAAAAGCATTAAATAAGCTTTGGCTCTCTGGATATTATGGAATTCAGTTTTCAGTATTTCTCACAAATACTGAGGCTTAGCAATATCTGCAGGACCACAACCTCCCCACACTTTAAGAAGTAATTAAAGGGTAAAATCATCAAAATGATTAGATATTGAATACATGGTAATCTGCAGAATGAACAAAACCACGAATGAATTGGTGGGTTCTGTTGGGCTCTTCTCCTGTTCCTAAACTGGGAATTGACTTAATTCTTAAGATGTAGACCTAAGGGAATGCAAAGATTAGACAAGAGATATAAATAAACAGTTGGTAGGAAGGAAATAAAGTACTGTATATGAATTACAACTCATATTTAAGCCATAGAGCCCTACATGACTACAAACTGTCTCCCAATCTTCAAGTCTAAATTCATGCTTGCTGCCTCAGCTCAAAACATATTATCCATTCAGATATCATAGCTAATTTTAGCAAACCGTGATTTCATACACCACCTGAAATGACCTAACACATTAATAGGAAGAGTGTAGGCCAGACTTTCTCAACCTAGTGTCCTCATGGTTTATTAGACTTCAACTTTCATAATTGATAACCACTAAATTCAATACATCTGAAGACATCAGACTGCGTAAGGTCTGATCCCTGACTGCCCTCAGTTAGCAAGAATGTCGACTGTTCAGCCATTTCCAGAATGAAATTCTCTGCACATTTCTACTCTTATTATATTTCCAATTTGCTTCTGTGCAGGTGTCCCAGGCAAAAGGAATGAGCTGTACTATGAATGCTGTAAAGAGCCATATCCAGATGTAACTTACACTGTTACGATGCGCCGTCGCACCCTTTACTATGGCTTGAACTTATTGATTCCCTGCGTCCTTATATCAGGCTTAGCACTGCTTGTTTTCTTACTTCCAGCTGACTCTGGAGAGAAAATATCTTTGGGTAAGGATTAAGACAATGCAGAGTTTAGATACGTAGAAAAGGATGTGGTAGTAAGAGTTGATAAAGGCTGCATCCCTGCAAGGGTGATTTGTATTTTTTGATTTATATAAACAAATATCCTTCAATGTATTGATTAAGTGAAAACCTAAGAGAGAGAGACTTTCAGCATTACTGTCTTCTACTATGCTGATCTCGTACACATAGGGAAGCATTTACATTGATTATGCTCATATGTTCCTCCAGAAATACTACAATCTAGAATTCTACCATCTTAGTCTCGGTTTTGCTTTCTAAGCCTTTTTTTAATGTCACCTGCCGTGTGTGAAACTATATGTATGGGGAGGGTCCGCTATAAGACTGTTTCCCCTGCCAGTTGGCCCTCCTCAAAATTGGATTCAAAAGAAGGAAGCAGATTAAGAAATCTGTTGTTACTCAAATTATATTAGAATGGTAATTTCATAATGTGCAGAACATTTTTTTAAAACTTTTCCACAACACACATTTCCTTTAATCTAGGTACATTTCTTTATCTAATAAATGGAAGGTGCACATTATTAATGACCTTTAAAGTGGAAAACATTCATGACTTCACTTTTTGTCTCTTTCACCATTTTGTTATAGGTATAACTGTTCTTCTGTCCTTGACGGTTTTTATGCTCCTTGTAGCAGAAATAATGCCTGCCACATCAGATTCAGTTCCCTTAATAGGTATGTTGATGGTGCACCACTTCTCTCATGATAAAAAATGAATCAGGTTTAAAACTGCGTAAAATTTATCTGGATCAGGTTCCTGGGCAACTGATGGGAAAGTGAAGGTGAAAGCGAGGAGGTGGCAGTGGAGGTGAATATATATACTGTATATAAAATATATTTTTGCCCAGATTGGAACACAAATTGATTTGCTTTTTAGAATTAGATGATGGCTGTAGATATCAACTTTTGTTGTCCTTTGGGAAAGAAAAAAACTGCTTCCCCAAAAAACTTCCTTTCTTCTCCAAAGAAATTCAGAGGAAGAAGAGATTTCTTCTGAGTTGTCAGGGGACCAAACTGAGAAGTATAAATACAGATAAATAAAAATCAAGTTCTGGTTCTGCCAGATTGCTTTGTGAATGCTAGAATGTCTTAATATTGTTGCTCTGTTGTCCTTATCCTTAGGAGAAGGAAGTTCCAAAGCAGTTTTCCAAAACCAAATTCCTTATGAAAATCAAGGAGGCTGTGTGGTTGCTAGAATCTTGTGATTGTTTTGCATTGCGATGTTTATAGATAGACAGTTCAACAGACACTACCCTAGTAGTAAAGCATAGGCTTTGCTGTGGAAGAGTCAAAGATTAATCTCTTGGAGGGCTGGAGATACGTTTTCCTGAAACCTTGTAAGTCTCCGTTAGATGGACCAAGCAGTTGAGTTAAATACAAGTAGTCCTCGACTTATGACCACAATTGAGACTGGAATATCCATTGCTAAGCAAAGTGGTTGTTAGTCAGGAGAGATGCTCCTGATTTTACGGCCTTTTTTTTTGCTAGGGATGCTAAGCAAATCACTTCGGCCATTAAGCAAGTATAGCTCTTTCTATTGACTGCTTGTTGAGAGCCAAGCTGGGAAGGTTGCAGATGGTAATCACACCTGACAATAAGAAGCTGTAGCGTTCATAAAACCATCCCGCTTGCCAAGAGCCTGAAGTTTGATCCGATGATCACGGGGACGCCGCGATGTTATAACTGCGAGGACTAGTTGTAAGGCAGGTTTTTTTCACCGCCTTTGTAAGTTCAAACGGTTGTTAAGTGAATGGTTGTACGTGAAATACTACCTATAGATGACCAGTTAAAATGGACTGGCCAAGGATTTTGCTCAAATGGCCTTTCCAGACAGATATACAAACCAGATTATAGACTGAAATAACCCACCCACCTTGACTGTATGAGGCTGTGTCTGACTTACATGATATGCCCACATCCTCCAATGTTTCAAACAGTAAAGGCCACTCTTGCAATGACGGTGTCTCCCCATTGGCGCTTTCTGGGCTTCCATAAGGACTCTGAGGAAAGGCACACACGCTAGCTGAGTATTGGGTGGCCGACAGTTCTCTGTGATCATCCCCTGCTTGACTGCTCATTCTCTATCATTGCTGTAAACCAGTAGTAGTAAACTATGTCACTGCACATAACAGCATTCTGAGATCCTTGTTCAGATCGATCCTGTTTGTGCAGTTTTAAACTGCAAATAGGAGAAAACAGAAAGGCTGGTCGTCTGGACAGAACTTAGGACAGCTTCTAGCGGTCGTATACTTTGTCCTCCCCTTTACCAGTGAAACTAGAAATATTTCGCACTCAAGGAAGGCTAGGAGAAATGGGACGGAAATTAATTTGTGAGTTGTGTGGGCAATATGATCAGGCAATCTATGAACACAGTGATGTTTTTCAACTGTGCCTGAAATGTCAAAGCAATATGAATAGTTTCAGCTCAGTCCAACTTCTTTTTCCCCACACTCAACGCAAGAGGGGATGGTAGAGATTCCACTCTTGTAAAAAAAATACCCTTCATGTATGTAACATGGTGTGTGCATTTCTTATGCGTTTTGTAAAACACACACACACACACACAATGAGTGTTGTGGCACATTTACTCTTGTACAATAGATCTATTAGTATCACCCAATGTTCTTTTGCATATTTTCTCCAGGGCTTTTCATGATGATCATAGGCCACTGAGGATGAACTCCCCTCAGCTTCAGAGTAGCCATTCGAGATAATTTCTTGTACGGTGGCCTCCTTCATTCCCACAGGGACTTTTTGTACTCATGAGCTAGGCTGAGTTCTAGAGCTAGACATCTTTTCAGCAAGACAAAAGATCTGCCATTAAAGGTCCTGGCTGGAGGCAGAGCAAGGCAGATCTGTTTCTTGCTATATTTACGGTCTTCTGCTCTCATACTTGTTTCATGGCCGCTGAAACTTCTGTCTCTTCCATTTCCTTTGCCTCTTTGATTCTCTTTTTTGCAAGAAAAGTGTTAAGCTGGGAAGATTTTNGGCTGCCGGTGGCCTTCCGGGTGCGCTTCAAGGTGCTGACTATCATCTTTAAGGCGCTCCATGGCAGCGGACCAGGATACCTTCGAGACCGCCTTCTGCCACAGATTACCTCCCATCGGCCAGTACGCTCCCACAGGGTGGGTCTCCTCAGGGTGCCGTCGGCCAGACAGTGCCGGCTGGCGACCCCAAGGGGGAGGGCATTCTCTGTGGGAGCTCCCACCCTCTGGAATGAGCTGCCCCCAGAGATCAGGGTGATCCCTGATCTCCCTTCCTTCCGCCGCGCCCTCAAGACATGGCTATTCCAACAAGCGGGACTGGCCTAGGGTAATTTTTAAGAGGGGTTTGTAGAGGGGGTTTTAATTATATTTTAAATTAGACAAGTTAAATATTTCATTTTAATTAATTTTAAATTTTGTGATGTTATTGGCGTTTTTAATTGATTGTCAGCCGCCCTGAGTCCGCAAGGAGAAGGGCGGGATATAAATTCGAACAATAAAAAATAAAATAATAAATAGATTGTCTACTTAAAAAGCTATTTGTAAATTAATTGACTCCCATTTGCAAATTAGCCATTCTCACACAAAGAGAAAAGCAGTAGGGGCTTGTATAGGTACATATACATAAATATACATCAAAGAAACAAGAGTAAAATAAGGTGGTGATAGGGTAAAAGAAAGAGGTAGTTGCTTTAAAATACTTGTAGCCTGTCTCATATATAATCTGCCTCTGCATGACCACCCTGTCTTCCCCTCCCCTTTCCCTCTTTATCTTATCCCATATTAAGTCCTACCTCAGTTTAGCCCTTCCATGTATCCGATGAACCAAACTGTACTTCAACAAAATGTGTTCGTCTGAAAATGCCTTACCAGACTTAATTTTGGCTATTCTGTTTGATTCTTCTGCAAAGGCTAGTAAATTTCCCCTGAGGGCCAAAAATTATAATCTGTCACTTTGTACTAAAGCCTGTGACAGAAGACTCCCGGAGGAGCTACTATGACATATGTTGAGGCTAATTAATAATCTTGTTTACTTTCCTTTTAAACTTCATTGCATTTGTTCTTCCTTCATCTCTGCTACAATGCATATGCCTGCCCAAAGACTGAGTAACCTATGCCCATGTGCATATTTCTCTGTGTGAATTAGATTTATGAAGGCTATAATCACCCTTTGCAGTCCTTCCGTTTTAAACTATGAAAAGAGAGAGTGAGCCAGGCACTGTTTTATGGGCAGACAGATTGTGAACCTAACTTGTAAATCATGAGCTGGCTGCCAAGTCCCTAGTTCACTTTGAAAAAAAATGTTAAGATGTGAGCAGGTTACTGCCTTCATCAAAATACATAGACAGATCGAAGTCCGGTTCTTCTGGCAGGCATATTTCTGTGATATGTATTCCTGCGCTTTCTGGTTGTGGCTGCAGGGTCTGAAACAGAACAAGGAGACACACTATTGAAGGAGACTTCCTGCTTAAGCTGAAATGCTTACGTAGAAAGAGGTGAGAAAGATGATGATCCTAACGGATGAAGGCAAGAAGCTGTAATACTTAGAAATAAGCTACTAAAACTGGCAAGGCATGACATGAAATTAGAAAGAAAGTGACAGGCGTTCTAAGCATATCAGTGAATTGGGAAAAATGGTTTTAATTCAGAAGGCAACAAATGTATGTGTTGCATTTCATGGTTGCTTTTTTAAAATGGCTGTCCCTTCTTACCCTGCTACCAGGATGCAACTATCTCTCTTCTCCACTGCATGATTGATTTATCTCAGCAGAACTATCAAATTGTTTTTGGACTTTGCAAGAGCTATTAAATTTTGATTCTAGCTGTTGTGCATACAACAGAAAAGCCAGACTACAAGTGAAAGCATGTGCATAGATGGAGATAATTATGGCTGGACAATTGAATGTTGTAATCTAGTCATGAAAGTAGCAGAAGTCTCCAGAGTAGAGTAACATAGAATGGCTAAGGCAGTCACAATAATCACTCAGTAGTGCAAGTATTTGATATTAAGCTGTAAATATAATGGTTGTACTGAAGTCTATCTTCAAATAATAATGTAGTTTGAAATCTGGGATAGAAAGTTTAGGAGCTCATTTGTACTGGAGATCAGTGCACTGTTCCAAAGCAGAAAAACACACTGATTTTAGGAAAGCCTGATCCACCACTGATCAGTCTCTTGGACTCCATTTTGAACCTGCAACACAACCGTTGTCTATGCTGCTTGTATAGACTTCAAAGCAGCATTTTATTTTATATCCCAAGCTAAATTATGCGGGACGTTGGAGGCCTGCTAAGTTGACGAATGTCTGCTTCATTCAGTATGTATGCTCCTCTCATCAATCCCATTGAAACCAGAAAGGCACCAACCAAGGCTACATATTGGCCACACTCTTATTCAGTTTTTATGGTGAGCCCGCTCCACAACATGGATTTTCACTCCCAAACATTTTCTGGAAAACACAGATGATGCAACAATACTTTCAAGAAGGCTTTCAAGAGAGCAGTGGGGACACTAGTGCAGTCCTGCAAGAAAGACCAGCTGGAATTCGATTATCAGAAAAGCTAAAATCATGGCATTTGCCAAAAGACCCAAGAGCCATTCCTGAAACAGAGATGGATGGCCACAAGTCTGAACAAGTCTTCTTCTTTACTTCCTCTTTTACCACTTCAGGTATTGAGAGAACAGGTCTC